AAGATCGATGATAAACCTTTCGAAAAAACCTTTAAGGGTTTTTTAAGGGGTTTAGTTCGCTTACTAAACCCTTTAAGGTTTAGTAAACGACGCTTTTTTTTTAGAGTGTACTTAGTTTACTTTGGACTCTGAGCTGATTTCTTGCTGAGTCTAGGTCTTTTAGCATACATGGTAAGATCTACAAATTCCTATACAAACCGAGATTCACGTATCAAATTTTGCACTTGTTCATCGGTTATTTTAGTCGATACGTAATTTGAGTGAATGTCCCTCAGTTGTTCTTTTTTGCTTTGGGATTTAACTTGGTTCTTGAATAAGTTGTGTTTTCGCACTTTCATTCTATGGTAGCAGTAGAAGAAAGTCGATTGACAATCGAAACCACATAAATAGTGTACCCTTTTAGCTTAGATTACGAACAGATTTTCGTTTCTGTCTATTTTAAGCACGTTAATGCATCATGTTGTTAGAGAGTAGTGTAATTTTTTCGAGTAACTGTATGAAAAGTGAGTTTACATCAATAGATAATTTTTCTAAGGGTATCCCAATCCCAATACATGAGAGATTGCAAGTACTGGTCATAATGTCATCATTCTGCGTATTTCGGAATAGTCTGCATGTAATGTATTCTTTTATTAGTTCTTAAGATAGTAGACAATAACAGATTTCTTATAATAGGTCCATTTGGATTTATTGTTTCATTTAAAAGATTTTTGCGGAAAGATTTCTCTACAAAATGGCGTATCTTCCAAATTACTAACGCTGGTTGTTAAGGAGACACGTTCATTCCACTAGAAAACTATGTAATGGTTTTGTTACATGTGCTTAGAAAGTTTGAAAGACTTACAGGGGAAAACTAGCCTAGAGACATATGTACAGTAGGCATCCAAGCGGACATTTAGTGAAAAATCGAAAATACACTTTTTCAAAATTCAAATTATGTCGCTATACTCTAATATGTAGGCTATCTAATGGTAACAGTATATATTCGAAATCCGGACACTTTAAGCTATCTATCTGTTTAAAAGAAAATTTCGCTTTGGAATAAGTCTGCAGTGAATACATAGTAGTTACTTTTAGTATAATAAGATAACACAGATTAGCAAACGTTCAATCCGACCCAAAATTACACCATATGTTCCTCAGTATGTGTGTTGTCTATGGTGAATGCCCCAAAACCTCCATATTTACGTATATGATTTCCTTGCGGCGATTGTTGTATGTGCTATGCATTTGATGAAATAGTCTAAAGAGAAAACAGTGACTATTCGAAGAAACTACTATTTTATGCGTCAAACGTAGTTTTGTACCTGACTGTCCTAAGTTGAATTATCGTTTTTCCAAAAAAACCTGACTTTTTAGATAAAATGCGTTTTTCTCGGTCCAGGTACGTTTGTATAAAAAAATAATGTGATAAAAAATTGAAATCAGCGCAAAAAACTGCATCGAATGACGTATATCTTGTTCATTTTTTGAATAAGAAATTTTTTGACAAAAATTTAGGGTAGAGGTCCTCCCTCAGGCATTTTTCGTCTAAAAAATGTTTTTTCAGCAAAAATAGTCTCTTTCTGAATTAAAAAAGAACATGTCCGCGGACTACAGAAAAATGCCCATTGTGAATAGGACGGGAGGTGAAAAAATTGTGTAATGGAATCCGGTAAACTTCAACCCGAAAGCGGCACACATTCTCAATCCGGGCTTCTTCAGCTATCTGTTAGTGAAGCAATGTTTTCTTTTGATCCTAAACGTGAGGAAAAATAACAGTAATTCATAGCTAAGGAAGTTTTCTTCGGTGTCTTGATTTTCCAAACTTTTCCGAAGCTTCCATCTCGCTCAAACTTTACGCAAATATTCTTACATCTACGTTGCGTCTATGATTTTAGCGTTAAATAGGGTCGTGGTTCCCGGCGCTCTCTGTAGGCTTTCCAAAAACTCCAGTTTTTTAAGTATAATGTTTTTTCACCTTTAAGAAGAAATAAGATCAAATTCGGAATCAGCTGGATAAATGGCATTGAATAATGTATAACACGATATGTTTGGGATCGAATAAATATAGATGAAAATTTCTTCTCATGAGCGTTCAAGACGAATTTTTCGAAAAAAAGTGATTTTTTTCTCAAAACCTTTTTTTTCTTTAAAGGCATTAGATATGACTAAATGATGACAATTCTTTATCAGACAACGGTTAAGGACCAAAAAATTCTGATGTTTGCCTGCTATTAGAAAATGGCAATTGTGCGGGAGGCTTTTTTCTCTTATTTACTGAATATTATGCAATTTTATTATGGAAAAAACCCACATTCATATAGAAAGCCTTTATATGATTCTCGTTTGAAATTCTGTTTATATACTAAGCTATTTCGTTTCTTTTCTCTTCCGGGAGAAGAAAAACAAAAAGAAAAAATGTCTTTGAGTCAGCCAATTATATTGTCTTGTATACAGAGAACAATTTGTTCTGGTTTTCTTTCAAACATACACACACATATATATGGTTACCGCTTTGCGCATAGAATTGAGTGGAGAAGAAGAAGAAAATTATGTTTCGAGCATCAAGAAGAAACCTTAGAAGTAGAATACACACGACATACTGTGAAATATTCTTCAAAGTTCGTCTTTCTTCTGTGCATAGTTACTCTGCTTTGTCCAAATGTAACCAATGACTCAAATGACACAACAACGACAACTTATACGTTAGTATTGAGTTATTGTTCTAAGAAAAACTCATTCTGTGTTGTAGTTTACAAGTCCCAACAACGATAACAGTTTTAAAATATGAAGGTGAAACAATTAATTTAAATATAAATGATTTGGATATACAACAACTATTGGGTAGTGGAGAATACGGTATAGTTTCTTATGCAACACTTCGAAGCGATCCAAATATTAAAATGGCTGTTAAAGTATGTTTAGCTCTTCTATCGTCTGTCATATCATTCAATTATATGTTTCTTGTAGAGAATTCGGTTAGAAACCAACGACGAAAAACGTTTGTCAACATATACCGATTTAACAACAATTGAACGTGTTGGTACAAAATTACACCCATATATTGTCAAATATTTTGGATCAATTATTGACAAAGTAAAGCTTACTTTTTAATTGTATATATGGACATAATCACATGTTGTACACACAGGTCGAGGGTGATCTACTTATTTTTATGGAACTGATGGATACATCCATGGATAGATTTTATCGGACGGTGCATGAACGACAAGACTTGGATTTACTCGATTTAATATTACGACGTGTGACATTCAGTGTAATTAGTTCATAAACATAGTGTAAATGTAGATTTTATGTTATTTTTTTACTTAAAGATTGTTTCAGCTTTGAATTTCCTCAAATATCATCGTATTCTTCATCGAGACGTTAAACCACAAAATATACTTGTCAATCGGCAATGTCAATTTAAATTATGTGACTTTGGTATTTGTGGTTATTTTACCAATTCAAAATCGGTAACATCATCATTCAAGGGTACAAATGTCTACCTGCCGGTGAGTATAATATGGTATCTTACAATACGGTGTATATGACGTAATTTTATTTAGCCAGAACGAATGAAAGATAACGTTGAACCGTATGGAATCCGTTCGGATATCTGGGCATTAGGTATCAGTCTTGTAAGTAATAAAATAGAAAACTATTATTATTACTGTTTTCTTTGTTATCATAGGTTGAAATAGCGAATGGAAAACAGCCATTTTTGGGTATACAAATTTTCGATTTGGCTGATCTAATTCAAACATGGATACCTAATATTGATGATAAATTAATATCATTTGCGTTAAAAGAACTTATTCTCTATCTGTAAAAATGATTATAAATTTCTCATGCATTGAAATATATATATCTTTTTCTCTATTTAGATTAAAAACAGATTATCGACTGCGACCGATGTCCTATGATGAAATACTTGGAATACCAATTTTACAAAGTGTTCATGCAATACCATCAAACGTTGAAATGAATTATATTACACACATTATTAATAATATTGTTCCATGACATATCCATCATATAACGACTTAAAAAGCATTGTCAGTTGATATATGTGCACTTTATCAGTCATCACTTGTCTAGTTCTCGTTAAATATCGACGATCTACACGTACATAATGGCAAACATCATCTAAGAAATTTGATTTTCGCTAAAAAGAAAAAGCGATTTTTGATTTTGAAGTAAACGCCATGATTAAGTCATACACATCGACCCTCTTAAGAATCGATAAAAGAAAACGTTAGTATCAAAGCTGTTTACATGATTTTCTAAACGTGTGTGTTTGTTTGAGAGATGTTGTTTCTCTTTTGATAGTTTTGTATCGGCGTTTTATTTTTAGTTACGAATTTGGTGCATCTTTTTCTTATAAAAAAACGTTAAAAATTTTTCGAAAAAGCGATGGTGTTTCAAAGCTTTATGGAAAAAACACGATTAGTTATACCATGTTGATATTTTATTAATACATGTTTTGGTTGTTGTAGTTGTTGTTGTGATAACTGCTGTTATTATATATAAACATACAATATAATAAACAGCAGAGTGCAACAATTACTTGTAAACAATGAATATTTAATATACTTAGTATTTTCCTTTTATTTCGAATTGTATAAAATCGACACGATTTCTGTATGAGTATTATGAAATCGACAACAGTATTGTGTGATTATTCTATTTTTTTTCAGTTCTTTACTTCCTAGACGAAAACTTTCTATCAATTCTTATACGAATCTTATTACTTTCTTACAAGATTCTTATCAAATTATTCAGATTAACAAGCTGGGATGATAGTATGGGCCTAATTTCAGGAATGTACTCAACGATCATGTGATACCCAACAGTTTAAAAGGTTTAAAATCTGAAACCGAAATTTCTACCAAATTACCTTTCTAGAAAGTTTCTTACTACCATAAGAAGTAAAAATATGGTCCTGTTTTTTTCTCTCACTATTCTTTTTCCTAGAGTTTCATAACGTTTTTATCATCTCAAGGCATAACGCGTTTATCAAATATATTGTTGAAGTTTTGTTCGGACGCACACGAATAAATATATTCCATTAATAAATTCTGCAGTGGTGCGACTCCTAGGGCCCTATTATTTTCACCCTATTTTACTGATTATTTCTACAATTGATGGAGCTATACCTTCGTTCCTTCGCTGTATTTCGCTTTACAAAAAAAGTTCCTTTTGAAAATGAAAACAATTGGAGTTCCAAATTCCCGTAGATTGTATTCTAGTACAAACGAAAACCAAAAAGAATACCCTTGAACTAGTGAGGAATACACAAAAACACAAAACTGGCGTTGCTCACAATTATAAAAGTTTAAAATCTGACTCTATATCTACTATCATTTCTGTACGCTCTCTTTCTGGTGTCCTTCTATTAGGAGACTTTAACGCGCATTGCTCAAAATGGTGCAATGAGAAACCCTCTACAGCCGAAGGCAATAAATTTTTTTCTTTTGTACAAAATTTAGGATTTTTTCAACATGTACATGAGCCAACTAGACTCACTTCAAGAACGTGTTTAGATTTAGCGATTACAAACAATCATAATCTTGTTAAGGACACAAAAGTGTTACCTATTCTGTGTGAAATGTGCGATCATGCGCCTGTTGGAATTCAACTAGATGGCAGGGTCCAACCTCCATCACATACTTTTCGTAAAATTTGGAACTATAGCGCTGTTAGCTGGGATCAGTATCGTTTTTTTCTTGCTAGGAAACTCAATGAATCTGCCCTTTCCTTTTTTAAGGCAGCTGTTGAAAATAAATGTTTAATTTTATTATCGGGTATACAGCAAACTGTGGAAATTTATATACCTCACAAAATAATAAAAACATGTACTAATGACCAGCCATGTTTCACAGATTCATTACGTTTTCTATATAAAAAGAACAAATTATACCGCACTTACAAAATACAAAATAATGATATATCCAAACAGCGCTATAAAGAGGCCCAAAAACGTTTTGATTGCGCGTGTGTCAAAGTAAAAAAAGATTATATTAATAGAATTAACCGCATAAACTGTGCGAGTAAATATTGGTGGAAATTGCTTATTATTAAGAATATTAATTATTTTGTTACCGATTTCTGACTACTTTTTCTATTTGTTTTCTGCATTTTATTCATGCTTTCACTTGAAATATTCTCTGTTTTTCTTTTAAACTTTTATAATTGTGTGCAAAGTCAGTTTTATTGTTGCTTGAACGAGAAATATGAAGGATAGAATGGGGAGGAAAAGTACGTTTACAAAAAGAATGGGGTCATGAGGAAAATTTAGAGCAGTATCGATGTGAATTTCAACAGCAGGAGGACGAAGACCGTCTCTGAAGAATATCAGTCCAGGAAGAATTAAGAAAAAATGAGGTAGCGTCACAAATGACTGAGTTGCAGAGACGGGCGAGTGCTCGGATTTCTGGATGCGAGTACGAGTACTGGAAATCGAGTACGAGTAGGCGTATGAGTATTTTCTGAAAAGTACTCGAGTATTTGAAGAAGCCGGTGAATCCGAAAAAATTTCCAGGCTAAACTAAAATGAATCTCTACCAATGGTAACAGTTCAAATATAGGAACTGAAAATTGCAGCTCATTTGTACCGTTGAGGTGAGATTTTTTTGAAAAACATAAGTCAAAACTAAGGAAATCTGAGTGTTGGGTTCGATAATTGACCTATTAAACGTATGGGCAATGCGATTTTTCACATTATCACTCATAAGCAAAAATTGACAAATTCACAAAATTTGAATTAATTTTTATGTAGATTTTTCGTTTTATCCTTCTCTGAACTACTGAAGCCGAACGAAGGGGTTTATGAAAAACGAACGATGGACGGGCCAAAAATCAGCTCATCAGCTATCTGCATCTGGTAAGAAATTTCATTTCTGGTAGAATTTTTGAGATAGAATTTGATTTAAAAAACGTAAAATTTCTAAATCAAATTGTTTCAGGTGAAATTTTAACCGTAAAGTGAGCAGCTAATCACTCAGAAATATTTAACTCCCTCTTTCTAATGTAGCACCGAAATTTATAACTGAGAATTACTTCGTAATTTAAGTAGTTTGACGGCTGCTTAGGTTTTGCTATGGCTTTAAACGAAAGCAAAATCTGCAACCAAAGATAAATCGCATCAATTTCTGGATGCCATCAGTGATGGCATGGCTTTTACGTGAACAAACCCAAATGTTCTGATCTAACATCATTAATAACACCATGCGATCAAACTGAATCTAGTTCAACATTCTGTTGTACACGAAACATACTTCATAAACAATACAAATTAGAATACAAACAACTTAAATATTATAGTTTCAAAGAGTTCTATATGTAAAAAGGTCAACTGTCGCTACAATTACCCTATTTTTATTCTTTATGAAAAAAATCATCACTTTTATCTCGCCTTTACACTCCCTGTGAACATCAAGTTATGATTAAACTATTAAATACATTTCATCAGCTATGTGAATCAAATAATATCACTTATATGATCAGTAGTGGAACATTATTAGGATTGCATAGAAATCACGGTAGGCTTGTTCGTAAAAACGAAGTTCTATACAGTTTCTAACTTAGCATTCGATTATTTTGAAAATCAGTGCTTGATTTTTTAAATTAGAATGTGGCATTTTGTGGAATGTAGGACTTTTGCAAAATTTGAAAATATCTGAAAGTCTCCTCAAAACAGTCCAAACTTTAGCAATAATCCAAACAGAGGGAGCAGAACAACAATCTGTTAGCCCGCACAAACTTTATTCGTAAGAATAAAATCACAAAACGTCAAAACCAAAAACCTCCCCTCCGTACAAACAAACACTGTATATATATATATTAAGAAAGAATGGTGACTCAACCAGAACTGAGTCAACATTCTTCGTGGTCATGAGAAATGAAAACAGATGAAGAAAGAATATCGACTGAGTCACCATTCTTTGTTGTTATTAGAACAGAACACAATCCAAGAATGACTGTACCCTATCAAAATAATAAACTATTCAAAGGAGTTTTAACGTAAGGAAGGGTAAATGAAGGATAGGAGATCTCTCTGTACTGTAGAATGAATGTGTGTATGTCTATCCTTCTCAGTTGTTACCTGTACGACATTGTACAGTAGCAACCTTTTATATTACCGGACAGTCTAAATGATATTATGCGTTTTTTCTCTTTCTATTGTTCTGTTCATATGTCTTTCACAGGAAGCTACGATCTTCGACAAAAAGAGAACCTTGTTTTAACTGTTGCTAAACATGTTTTCCTAAATCAGCTTAAAACTGACTCTTTTTCGCATAAAACCTTCCATTTCTCATTAGTTTTCGTCCTGTTAGAAAACGTTTTTCTAGAGGCTGAAAGTAGATTTAAGGACTTTGCGGTTTCTCTTTTCTAGTTTTTTTCTTGCGTATATTAATGAGTACTTCAAAATACGAAATATGTTTTCACGGATATGTGCGCAGCAGAGTTGGTATCAATACAACTGTATATTTGTTTCAGCTTGCTCTAGGGTTTTAGATCGGTTGATCAGCCGGCCAATTTAGGCAAAATTAAGACAAGTTCGGTCTCAATTTTGTTTGGTTTTTTGAGCTTTTCCATCCAATTTTAACTAGTTTTATGTGAAAAATTACATGCAAATATTTTTCTTCGTATAACGACTGCGAGAGTAGAATAAGACATTTGTTTGACAAACATCGTTAACATAAAATTATTCTTCAACAACAAAATATCAAACTTGAGTGGAAGAACGTGATTCTGGGCTAAGATAATCATCAAATATAAAAAGGCTGTGTTTATTGTTTAGCATATTTGTCTGTATAATCTTTGGCTAAACGATTAAATTCATCTCTATTTTCTAAATATAATTTTCCTTTTTCGACTTCAAGACATTTTTCTCCATGTGGTCGTTCCAATAATTCATAAATACCCTGTATTATAGTTGCAATTGGTGTTGTTGGTTTCCATGATGTGGACAATAAATCTAAACTAATTTCTCCTTGGTCTTCAGTTATATTTGGATGAAATACTTTTGTTTGCATTTGACATTGGGGTGGTTTCAACGGATATAATTCTGTAAATAATATTAACAATTTAAATTGGCCATTTTCGTATGGTGTGTTTGGTGGACCTTGTATTATTGCTGCCCATTCTAATAAATTTTTAGGATCAATAGGTCCAGCTGATAAAATCGGTGATGTAATATTTAATCCGTTTAATTCCTTCTCAATACGCCTTATTGAGGCAGATGGTGTGGATGAAGCTGTGCCTGTTGCTGCAGCCTGCATAGTCAATGGTACGTTGATGGTGATGTTAGTGAATAAAAATTTTTTTAGTTTTTACCAGTACACGTTGTCTTGTTTCATAGATGAGAAAAAAGAAAGAAAACTAAAAGAACCACGGGACAGTACCGAGAAAAAAAGAAAAGAAAAATGCTTGTTTTACTTTTAATAAAAAGAAAAAACAGATCAAGAAAGCGAAAAAAAATGTATGTGTTTTGCGGTAGTTTATAAAAGAAGCCAAACTAGAGCGAGATAAATATTCAATCCATGATCAGTTTCTCTATGAAAAGTCCCCTTTTTGGTTCTTAACAGCACAAAAGGAACGCAAAATACAACATTCATTGAGGTATATAATTTAGTTTACAAAACTATCATTTGTTTGTAATAAATTGATTATTATCATTACAATAAATGTATTTTAAGTATATTCGATTTAACTTAATTATTGAATTAATTCGTTCATTCAATTTAGTAAACTATTGAAGGATATATCAAATGATGATTTCTAAAAGTACTTCAACACAAAAATTTTCCAAGCAATTTGACAGTTTTTCTGTTATGCTAAGTTTCATTATGCGTGTATACATATATATGTATATTTTTGTTCATTTTTCGTTCAACAACTATGAGAGGAAGATAAACAAAGAGCATATATTCATAAATAGACGTTGTTCATTCATGTACATGATGAAACACATGTCATCAACGTAAGTAGAAGCTCGTGTAGGTCGCCGTCCGTCGAACATTAAAAAAGGGATACACGCAACAAATAATAAATAATTTAGTAGGTTATTTCTCTTTTTGAATAATATAAAATACGATGAATTTCTTATACATTTGATATCGCCCCTGTCAACTGTTATCATTGTCCCTTTTATACCTGTTATTTTGTATGGTTCTGTATGTCTTCTAGGATTCTTTTTATTTGATATTTTGTGCTTTGGGGGTTGGTATAAGACTTTGTCTCTAATTTTAAAATTTGCTTTTTTGATTTTATGTCTGCTATCGACATCTTTCGCCACTTTTTCTTTATTTACCTCGTCTTTCAATTTAGTTGAAATATCATCATTATTAAATTGAAATGTACATTTCTCATATAATTGAATCAACCTTGAACACGACTCGTCCTTAAATAATAGACTTGACGGAAGCATACAATTTTCGTTTAATAAAACAAGGCAACAATGAAACACTCGATTCATTTGTTTCACGATTAAGAAATTCAGTGTTAACATGTGGGGAGACAACAACAGAGAAATACGTTAACAGATACTATTGGGCTGTAAATCTAGCATATTGAGAAAGAAAGCCTTATGCGAAAAAATGGATTTAGATAGACTCATCGAAAATGGGCGTACATTTGAATTAGCTGATAAGCAAGTAGCAAATATAGAAAGTTCAATAAGCCAAAAGGAAGAAATCAACAGAATTGATAATGGTAAAAATAAAACAACAAAATCATACTCTGCAATGATAAATTGTAGTTATTGCGGCAGACAACATACAAAAGGTCGCCAACATTGTCCAACTACGGGTATTACATGCAGACAATGTGGAAAATTGAATCATTTTGCAAGAATGTATAGAACCAAAAGTTAGCAACAACCACACCAGATACAAGCGTTCAACTAACCTAATTACAAGTAAAATAATAAGTATCGTATAAGGTCATAAAATATAACTTCAATTGATACAGACCAAGCAGCAACAATATCACAGCACAAGTGTTCAGATTCAAGTATTGATAATAAATATTTATTTATGTTGAAATCAGATAATGGTAAATTTCCATATGCGAAAGTCACATTTAATGGTTTTCATGGTAATAATTGAATTACAATGATAATTGATACCAGCTCATCTATTAATATTATTGATAAACAAGTATATGAACAATTAAATCCAAAGCCAAATTTAATTGAAATGAAAAACCAAGCATAGGGTTTTCAATCACATAAACCAATTGCGTTAATGGGGCAATTTATATGTAATGTTTCAGTAAATGATAAGCAAATCAATGCTGATTTTACAGTGGTAAAAGGTCGCGAAAAATGTATTTTAAGTTTTGAATTATGCAAACAATTGGGTATCGTCAAAATACAAAGCAACATTCACAATATTAACGGTAACAAATTCGTTGAAAAATTGAAACGTGATTATCCAAATGTTTTTAGTGATAAAATCGTTAAGCTTAAGAATTGTGCCGTGAATTTAGACATTGATAAAAGCATTAAACCACTTAAAACGAAGCATCGATGAATTCCATTTAGTTTAAGAGAAAAAATGAGTACAGCTATTAAGAAAATGTTAAATGATGATATTATTGAACATGCCACTGGTCCAACAGAATGGTTGTTACCAGCTATGGCAGTTCCAAAGAAAAATGGTGAAATACGAATTATCGATGAAATTGTATCAGATATACATGATGCGAAAGTATTCTCCAAAATAGATTTGCGTTAAGGGTTTCATCAGATTGAAATTGGCGAATCAAGTCGTTATATTACAAAATTATGCAAATTCCAGCTCTCCAGCTATCGTCATTCTGATAGGAGTCGCTTTCCCCGAGCACATGTCTATCTCCTAGTAGACATCTTGGGGAAACCGGTTTTTCGCCTGTTACCAGCAGAAGTTCAAATCCTTATATCTCGGTCAGATCTCATGGTGACTCAAGTAAATTTTCAGGAAAAACTTCAACTGCGCCATATATTGTCTATCAAGCCGAAAAAGTGGTTCAGCAGAACACTAAGGCTTTTAGGTTTTTCAGAAGGTTTCTGGAAAACCTTAAACCAATGCTCAGCTGAAACTGACTTTTTTTCTTCTTCGATTATGATTTATGAGCTGTTCTGAGTCCAATTTCTGGAATTTTGCGAAACTGTTTTTTGACAGTTGTTAAAAGTAAAAAATCCCAAAAGAGATTGGATCAAGTTGATTTTGGGGGAAAAGTTTTTAATTAAAACGGCTTGGCGCCCCAATTGTTGTTTTAATGAAATTGTAAGTCAGTAAATAATCGTACAACATGAATCAATAATTTTGATACATATCGATTTAATTGTTTATTAGTTATCTGTTTAAATAACGGTCGTATCGGCGTTAATACGTAGTGCATGTATTCATGTTTATATGTTCCATAGCATGATGTGATTAATTGATTAACAATAATTGTAGCTTCATTTGTTAATAGAGTATAAGCATCAAAAGCCTTATAGGCAATTATATTAGTAACAATACTTTTTTCTACTCTATTATTATCATGTCTGATACTGTCTCCGATTTCAATTTCATTTGCAAGTCGACAGTTTTCCTTCGTTTCGTTTTATTTTTTTATCAATATTGAATGTGTTGGTGTTATATGTAATGGTATTGTTTGATTCAAAATTTCTAAATACTGTATGGCTTTTGTCTATTGTATTGTTGATATGCAAATATTGTTAGCACAGGGCTTGATTTAAAAGTTAATTTATTATTATTATTTTGATCATAGTACGACACTAAAACTTGATCGCCGATATTCAAATCATGCAAAAATATTGGAGTACGATCGTGTTTCAATACCGTTGAACTATCCTCACAACATGCTACGAAAACAAAAACAATTCGTAGAAAAATTTCAGTACAAAAAGGATGATGACTTACTGCGTTTTGGAGTTGTAGTTTGCAGTGTCGTTGTTGTTCGACGCTGTTCTTTAATTACATCAAACAATAAGTATGTGATAATTTGAATAAAGTTTTACTGAGTAAGTTATGTAATCCAGTTCCAGAACAAAGTCCGTAGTTGCAGTCGTAGTTGTAGTGGTTGTTGTTGTTTTCTCTCTCTTTGTAACGACGATTGGCACTGTAATAATGACTGTGAGAATTATTAATAGAGCTACTATTATACGAATAATACGGCATTTTCTTTTGTTGCACAACGCTGGACAATCTTCTTTATGTGGTTCTGAATTTTGTCTGTGTCGTCTATGCGCCTCATATTGTCGATCAGCATACATATCGCCTCTTTAATAATTCTTTTATCAACTTCGTACATAGTAAACAGTAAGAAAATGCAAACTATGTCGCCTCTTGTATTATTATGCCATACGTTATCGATATCTTGTTCGATCAAATAAACCTTAAGATCAACAGATATCAACAATTGCTATTATGGGAATAACTAACAGGGGAGAAAGTGAGGATCCCCTTTTTGATATCTTTATGATTCCTTTATTACACCTTATTATACCTTTATGTTCCTTTGATCTCGATATTATCTCGTGTTTTTTATCTATCTTCGGGAGTAACAGGCATTTGTAAAGAGTATCCAGAAACGATTTGAGCTCGACCAAAGTTCATCTTATTGATCACCATGTTAGGGGACTACTGTAGCTTTATTCTAATACTTCATTCAGCTAAAGGTATTTTCAAGAAGAACTTATTTCATTATTTGATATGAAATATATGTCAATGACGCAACCCGGATTTTTTAAAACTTGAGAGGATCTCTATTTAGGCTTAAAAATTATATTGAACAATAGTGGGCGAATGATTCCTTTGTAGGACTGATGTTTTACTCTAAATCATGTTTTTTGTGTGTGCCATTTCCCATGAGTGTCAACTACCTTTAGTTGTTCATCGTTTTTTCATATTAATTAACCTCATCACTATATTCAGAACTCTTTGACATCACATGCGTGAGAGTTTTGTTCACTTTCAATGCCTCAGTCAGTTCTTCGCCTCCTCTAGGAAATATTTGGTTATATCCCAGATTAAGTTGCTTGAGAGTTTTGTTCACTTTCAACGCTTCAGCCAGTGCTTCACAGCAATAGTAAGACCAACCTCTTTTTTAGAGCTTGTCGAGCTGAGCCTAGCTACACAAACAGCAGGTCTATAGCTATTGCGGAAAAAAAATTACTGCCGTTTTACTCTCCCAGTAAAAGAAGCGGAATTTTGCCTTTACCTAGCTATTTTGATTCCTCGTGTGAAGCTCACACCGGGGCTCATCCGGCTCCAAAATTGATGTCTTAAAAGAAAGAGCTTTACAAATACTACATATGCAGAGAAAAAGACTTTTGGTCCATGCAGGTTGGTATTTTGGGTTCTAGAAATGTCGGCAATATGTCATTTTATTCAAAGTTGAACGCTCTACTCTACCATGTGGTTAGAAAAGTTTTTGGATGAAGTTTGACTTTAAACGATTTTCTAGAAAACTCGAATCTTCATTCATCTCAAAACTCCTGCATGGGCCAAATGCTTTTTTCTCTGCATATGTAGTATTAGTAAAGCTCTTTCATTTAAGACCATCCGCGTCAGTTTTGGAGCCGGATGAGACCCGGTCTGAGCTTCACACGTTGGGTCACAATAGCTGGGTAAAGAGATCCACGAAAGATGTGCTTTGTTGAGGACGGAATGACGAGCACGAGAAAATTGCACAACGCAAAAGTTACGCACGAAACAAGTCTTCTGTTCCAAGCTACTTGACAACTACGTTCTTATTAAATATATTTCATTTTCGAAGCTAGCTTAACCGGTAACATCCTCCCGCTCCTACTCGATTATGATAACCTAGTGCTCGATTCACTACTAGGTTGGAGTTAGCTAAGTAGGTAAAAAGATGCATTTAGCCAGATTCATCAGGTGAATAACCTGCTGGTTATGCGGTTGATGGAGCTAGATTTTCTCCGTAGAGCATTTTTACTTGGATTAGTAACTTCAAAGGGACACAGTAACCGTTGTTTACTAGACATGAGCAGAGAATGTTTTTTATCATCGTAAATGACCATTTCTTAAAATGACTATCTATCAGAGCTCCGTATGGACTCAAAATTCTAAGTCCAATCCTAGTCCATGGACTCTAAAAAAGTAGGTTTTTAGTGCTTTTTTACTAATGTTTTCTCGATTCAAGTGAATCCAAAATTTTCTTTCGAGTTCATGAACTTAAAAGTTTCAATATAGTCCAGTCCATATGGAGCTCTGCTATCTATACATTTTCTAACCACCATTATAGTCGATACACTATTGCTGAACGACTTGAACCTAGATGAGGATTCACTTACTATTGTTGTAAAAGAAGTTGTATTTTATGTTAAACTAACTAACAAATTTGATGATTAGCTAGTAGAACTTTAATTCTAAATTTTAAATTAGGCCACGCCACGTCTCTCCGTCTAGTTTGTGTCGATTTTCGCTTTTCCTTGACTTTTTCAACTTTTTTTATAGTACTTCAACTTTTTACCTTCCACCTGTTCCACTTTCTCACGTAAATGTGCATGACCTAAAATGGTTAACTGCTGGCCTTATTATTAAAATCAATAAAGACATAAACCAACGTATTAATACACTTGTATATCAGTTCTTGAGATACACAACGTAGAAAGTAAATCTATTCAGAAGTGACCACGATAAAGATTTGGTAACAAAAAAGAACATGTGAATATTTGGTTTAGAGAAAATTCAAGATGTTAACTAGTTTACTAAAAAGAGCAAAATTTAGATAATTTAATTTAGTTCAGTTAATAAAAACTAAGACTGATAATAAAGAGATACATGTGGCAATCTTCGTAAAGTAGTTTTCAGTTAGATAACCGTTTAGTCATATCTGACTGTCGTAATTAGAGCCGAAAGTCTCGCCAAAGTCGCCGAGAGTCTCGGCGTTTTGGCTGCACGCGTTCATGAAACCGTCTATTATCGAGTTGTGCAAGATCCAAAGTATTTATATTACGGTAAGGAATATCCTTCTTTCCATCTTCATCTAGTCTCAATTTGCGATTATAGGTACTTGGTGTGTAGTACAATACAGTGCTGTGTAGATAAATTATAATCAAGCTAATACTATAATTCATTATATTGTGCTATTTTTGACGAACTTCAGCTGCACATTAATTCTAATCATTTTAATTGCACAAAAAGCGTTCAAATGTTTCTCATAGTAAATCATGCACAAACCTGTTTAGGATAGAATTTCTTGAACACAAAGATCAGACAACAGACTAAAAATCAAAAAAAACGAAACGACTTCAGTGTGTCGCAGTTCGACAACTCAGCAACCTACAATATTTCGAATGGTGTTCGAATAAGAAGAATACTCGCAGAGATTCAAATAGCAGGTTTTGTATACTACTGTTTATTGACGACGCCTATCACTGTTTCCTTCTCCTTTTTCTCAAACGTACGCATACAACCTTCGGGAATCACATAGAATGGTACAGAATGATCTGTCCGATTAATTATCGCTGCTTTCGATCGAATAGCCAACAGGCTTCGTTTTGTTTAAATAAGACTCTACGGGCTAGTTATAGTCTGGTAACAGACACGTGTTCGCTCTAGCTTTTCTTCCACGAGCATCGTCGTTTTTACCTTTTATGCTTTGGTTTCCAATGGACTGAAACACAATATTTCCATAGGAACAGACACATCTTGAAATAATTAGTTCGTCAAGGACAGCACTCACACCGGCTTTAGAGAAATAAAGAAATTTCCGAAAAATTCAAGGTTGTCGCTAAACTAACAAATAATCTCCAAAAACGTGGAATCGTATAATCGGGGAAAAATTTAACGAAAATATTCGAAACACCCGTTACATCCCTTGTTTTATATTTCCCAACTTCTTTCGTCGTTTTCGAACATCGCTCACTGCAAAGATCTCTTGCATACTTTGCATTATCACAGAATCAATTATTTCTGATGCCAGTCTAAAATGATGTTCAAAGTATTCATTTACTTTCTTAAGTATAATTTGGTCATAGAAAAAGATCGACCTTGGAATATGAACAAAAATAACAACTACATGGTAAGCCCATGTACATATATAGGCTGTGAAAAAACACAAAATTTCAAACATTTAATGACTACAGCCACAAGAGTCACAAAAATTTTTAGGCATGATTATATGAAAAATATACCACCTGGTGGAGCTAATGCACAGTCAAGAAATAGTCGAACAAATAGCCCAAATGGGTTGGCTTTATTGAAATAACTGGCTACCGGCAACGTACGCCTAGTAAATGATGAAATCGATGATCGAGGTGTACGTTCTTTGGAATGACTGTGTAATGAAGTTGTTTTACCGCTTCAATTACTTTATTTAGGTGATTGAGTTGACGTTCATTTTTAGATTATATGTACAGTATGTATGTCTGTGTGAATAAAGAGAAATATCAAGAAAAAAGGACAACAAGAGAGTGAATGTTATGGTCACGCGTCTGACATATGAAAGGTCAGAGACCTGTAACATACACCGAAAATTCTGTTCTCTTTTTTCCTTTCTTGTGTATTCCTCGCGGTGTTTTTCTTTTTTTCTTTACTTTTTATATCAACTATTACACTACCGTCATTTTTTGTATATATAGATTCATCTTTCTTTTCTTTACTTCTGTGAATGTAAAAATGGTCTCATGGGTTCGCCTTTTTCTTTTTCCTTCTCAATAAAAGGTTTATATCAATTTTTTCACAAAAGAAGTTGAGAGGAGGAATCGTTTTGTATCGCTTATGCAAGGCTAAGAGACCACGAAAAAAAACGTGAATTCAACTTTTCGCTTTCTGCTCTCTCATACATACACTAAAATAGAAAGGATATTATCTATCAACGATCACGGTCAACAAGATATAAAAAACAAGTTAGCGAGGTGCATTTCTACATTCTTTTCACTCTAATTTATACAATACGTTGTTGATGGTAAATGAATGAATTCAAAGAACAAGAACTAAATGACGATGATCGACAACATCAAGACGAATTTCACGATCATGTCATCAAAGGTTTAACATCAACACCAAAATACATGGACGGGAAATATAATTTTGATATGAACGGTGACAAAATTCTTCAACAAGCTGTGAAAGGTGAGCAGTACTATGTATACAGATGCGAACTGGAAATAGTTACTAAACATTTAAAAGAAATCTGCCAAGTAATGATTGCTGATGGTAGCCCATTTGATTTAATTGATCTGGGTGCGGGTGATGCTACTAAATCGATTCATATTCTCAAGTATATGTTTAGTGAACACCCAACTCCTGATTTTACATATATGCCTATTGATATATCATCGAATATAATATCTCACCTTAAAACATCATTACCTTTAATATTACCATCATTAAAAATGATCGCTTTAAATGGTGAATATTTTGAAATGTTGGAAAAAGCTATGGCTCTATCTAGTGGTCGACGAAAAGTATTAATATTCTTTGGTCAATCTATTGGTAATATGGCCATGAACGAAGCTGTACTTTTTTGTCAAAAATTACGAAGTTATTTATTACTGGGTGATATGTTACTCATCGGATTTGACCTTCAAAAGCATCCAAAAACAATACTTGATGCTTACGATGATAGAAGTGGTAATGCCGCAAGACTTACTTTGAACATACTCCAACGAATCAATCGTGAATTGAATAGCAATTTTGATCTCTCAAAATTTGAACATTATCCAACGTATGATCCAGAAACCGGTTGTCTTAAAATCTATTTGCTTAGTCTACTTGATCAACAAGTCCATATTGGTTCCGAATTAATCCAATTTCATAAATATGAGTCTATTCATATTGGATTTTCACAAAAGTATAAAATTCAGCAAATTCATCATTTGGCTTCAATCGCAAAATTTAAAACGGTTAAAGACTTCTTTGACAGCAAACATTGGTTTGTTGATAGTCTATGGATATGTGAATAGGTAATTGGTTAGCTGAGGATATGAAACGGTTTTTCCTGAGTAAAAGGTACTGAAGATTTCAACATGTCTAGCCGCTTTTCTCCTTAAGATTCTTATGACTAAACTTGCTGTCCTAGGTGTAGACATTGTGGATATGATAAGTGTAGTCTACTAGTCTCGAAGAATGTTCGGTACGTTTCTATTAGGAGTTGCAGCGTTCTTGTTTGTTAAAAACTCGTATATTTCTGAATTTGAAACATGTAGAAAAACTAGCCTCAGTTGGGGCCTGCCGATCGGATTACAAGTTTCGAAGGATTATACAGGTTATTCAGGTGGATTTGATGAGAAACTGGGATTCCTAAAAAAGGTCGCCAGATAACGTTTTGTTTACTGAGATGAATGAGCATTAACACAGTGTTTAGTGCGGCCAATGACATATGCTAGCATATCGTTTGGAACAACTAAATGTATGGGACTGTAGATCGATTGGGTTCCAGCAAAAGTGCAGAATAGACACATCTGACGAAATATCAGCAGCTATCGGACGTGCACACTATTGCTAGGCATGCACCAGGTACAGTTAACTGTAAAACTGTAACTGTCATAACTGTAGACAAATATCCCAGAGTGAGTTATTCGTCTACGATTTTCATACATTTTGAGAACAGAGACATCCCTAGAATATATGTCTACGTTACTCAACATTTTTTCAATGCTTTCCACTAGGGGCTGAACTTCCAGACCTTGACAATCCTTTAGTCGAGACTTGAATTCTGTTTGAATGCAGCGCCGTTAGAATTGAGAAGATTGCTATGCTGGTTAATGCTTATTTTTCACATATAAACAAAAACAAAGCCCGAGATCAAATTGTAAACAAGGCACGTTCTTCGGTATTCTACATCACGGTTAGCATTCTGAAGCTTTTTGTAAGTTGTTCACAAGGTCGAATAATTTTAAAATGTTGACTCACCATATTTCCGGCAAGTACACATTATAAAACTACTTGGTACAGCAGTAGATAAAGTATACGAGAATATAAAATATAGAACTGCTGTAAACATCTGTTTTATTTAAAATTAGAGACTCTATCAATTTAAATAAAAATAGTTGCAAGACTTTGCGTTTTTATGACAGCGGTTAATGCTCTTTCAGAACACATTATGCAGAAGTGCGTCTTTATAGTGGAGAGTATTCACACAAGAATGAGAAGAAAAAGTTGAAATATACGTTTCTACGATGTTGTGTCAAAAAGTGTCATAGAAAATACGATACAGCTGGAAAATGGCATTAAAGCGAATGAATTTATATTTGTTACGTTAAACAGCTTCTAACTCGGCCGTTCAAGACCGTAAAAACTTGGCCAGCATCTCATTTTGTGCATCTAATTATGATAAAAATGTATCGACTACACAGTAGTGAAAATCTGAGTTCGTCATTTATCGTGGTCTGCAATGGAGCTCAGTTTTCCTGAGAGCGAAAAGAAATGGAAACATAAGTTATCGATCGACTAAAATAAGCAATTGCAGAATAAACACTTGATATAGTAGAAAAATTCATAGCACGTAAGTTCCAATATGAATACTCTTACCACATCTTACAAAATATTTTTTTGGAAGAATAATAAAGGTTTAAAGTTATCAAAGAAATAAAACTTATGTATAAAGGTTGAGCCAAATTTACTGAAAGGAATTGATAAAGCGCTCTTAAAAAACTTGATCGTAAAAGTATCAATTCGATTCAGTAATCCTTCATGTATGCAAACAGCAATTAAGCTGCACTTTGATCATTTGTATTCACTATGTGTTGTTATATTTTCAAAGATCAAATTTTTAAAAATTAAAAATCCTTGAAAAGTGTTTCGAGAAACGCTTAGACCATTTTTAAAATACTCAGAGAGTTTTTACAGAAATAATTAAATGCATTTATCCGTGAAAAACGAATAAACGTAATTCAATTACTAACCGTTTTTCACGGTTGACAAAAACTGTTAAACGTATTTTACAGAACGGTTCAACCGTGTTTCAAAAACGTTTAAAGGGTATAACCATTTGCACCATATCATAACCGTTTCAGCGTTTTTCACAGCTGAAAATACCCTTATTGGTTTTTTAAAACTCCAAAATCAGTTTTTCGGTCACAAAATAGAAACGGACAAACAGTTATGATATGGTCCAAACGGTTATATCCTTGAAAGGTATAACCAGTAAAGTAGCGCAGTAAAGGTCTCACTTTACTCCCATTTTGAAGAGAACACCTATTGGTTCATGGAAAAAAATCAATACATTCCTATGTGAATTTCGGTAAATCAAATCTGATAAGGGAAGCCCACCAAGTGTTCTCTCGCTTTTGAGCTGAGACTCAGTTGACCCTTGTTGTAATCGAGCATGCTGATTACGAATTTCATAATGGTTTGGACTAATTTTGACTTTAAAGCCCCGGTTTTTGAAAATCTTGGTTTTCAAGCCGAAAAACCATTTGCACTAAAAAAATTTTTTGATCTGTCCAATGAAAATGGTAACTATCGAAAAAATGTTGAAAACACAACTAAACATTTTCTCGTTAGTTACCATTTTCATTGAAGAAACAGCAAATACTTTTAAAAGCTCTGAATTTTTATGCCATGTCTAACACATATACGCAGCGATATTGCTTAAAGCCCTTCGATAAGTTGAAAAAGAAGGGGAAAAAAGTGCAATTTTTGCACTATACTGCCTAGAAAAGCCGATTTTTCCTTTCTTTTTTGAAGTTTTTGACATAGAAAACTCACTCGGAACCTCTCATGAAACCTTGAAAAGTGGTTTTCTGTAGCTTTCGCGACGTACTCTATCAACTGGAAAGATCAAAAAATTTTTTTAGTGCAAATGATTTTTCGGCTTGAAAACCAAGATTTTCAAAAACCGAGACTTTAAAGTCAAAATTAGTCCAAACCATTATGAAATTCGGAATCAGCATGCTCGATTACAACAAGGGTCAACTGAGTGAAAATATAACAACACATAGTGAATACAAATGATCAAAGTGCAGCTTAATTGCTGTTTGCATACATGAAGGATTACTGAATCGAATTGATACTTTTACGATCAAGTTTTTTAAGAGCGCTTTATCAATTCCTTTCAGTAAATTTGGCTCAACCTTTATACATAAGTTTTATTTCTTTGATAACTTTAAACCTTTATTATTCTTCCAAAAAAATATTTTGTAAGATGTGGTAAGAGTATTCATATTGGAACTTACGTGCTATGAATTTTTCTACTATATCAAGTGTTTATTCTGCAATTGCTTATTTTAGTCGATCGATAACTTATGTTTCCATTTCTTTTCGCTCTCAGGAAAACTGAGCTCCATTGCAGACCACGATAAATGACGAACTCAGATTTCCACTACTGTGTAGTCGATACATTTTTATCACAATTAGACGTCTCGTCTCTACTAATTTAATAGACAAATTATCGGTCACAATTGAAAAGCTACACTCTTCCTTTGAAGTTCAATCTGAACAACAAAGTTTTCAGAAACCATCAGTTACTACTAAGTTAACGCAATCAAGTTCCATATCACAATCATCTCTCATCTCATCTAACCATGAACAATTAAAATCAAATCCATCTGCGCTATTACGATTACTGGTTCGAGTATCGTTCGTGATTTGGAACCAGGTAAACTATTTGTGGGCGATAAACATTTTGATATAAAAATTCGTACAAAACATGGCGCTTCAATTAAACCATTAACACATATGATTAATAATAATTGGATTGATCAACATTTTAATCTTTCGTCACACGCTATAATTTCCATCGCTTCGATTGACATGAAACACATTAATTCTGATAAAACCATAGAGCTTCTTAATCAACTTATTCAAACACTGAAACGTAAACATCAACATACAAAGCGTACATTTGTTACAATACCACCTCAGTTTGATCGTAACTTAAAACCATCTTTACAAGGCCAATTAAACAATGAGATTGATGATTTTAACCAGCGGCTATTATCTTTATCTGATATTGACATTATTAATTGTAAGTTTACTCGAAATATGTTAGCTCATGATGGTATCCATCTGAACGATCTTGGAACACGTAAGCTAACTGAAGCTATTGACGTTTATTTGAAGAATTGTATTTAACAGTGAAGCTCTATTTGACTGCTTGTTATCGAACAGTACAATGGCTACATTACAAAACACTTTTTTCTCTCGTTCTTCTCTTGTAACTAAGAACTTTGACGTACTTGAACAGTTCATAAATTACTATAAGCCTGTTGCTGTTTGTTTACAGGAAACTTTTTTATCCTCAGTTATTTCAGACAGTGAAATTTCAATTCCTAACTATTTTCTTTATCGCTGTGATAATCTTCGTACGCGTGGTGGTGTTTGTGTATATATAAAAAGTGACATTTCTCATAATTTTATTCTTTCTTCTACGGACACCGAATTGATTCTTCTCTCTATTACAATCAACAATCACACGTGTTACTTGTGTAATTTATACCGTCGTCCAGGGCGTCCAGCTACATTCTTTTACACTTTACAAAATTTTTTTCTTTGTCATGTAAAAAAAGATTTTTCTATTATTTTGTCAGCTGATTTCAACGTTCGTACAGTTAGACCGATAGCATCAGTAGGATTACGTTCTTTAATAGATGTTTTTGACCTCACTAATGCTTTCTCTATACCAACTACAATAAAAAATACGTTTATTGATAATATATTCTTCTCTCCTAGTCTTCTTCGTCCTAGTACGTCCATCTTTCCTTCTTTAGGCAAGTCTCCTCATTATGTTTTGTCTTGTTCTTTCCCATACGTAATAAAAATATTATTATATAAAAATATTACTATTGTCAAAGTAAGAACTCTCCGTTTTTCTCAGCGTACTCATTATCTTCTACGGAAAAGAAATGCTGCTTTTAAAAAATCAAAATCAAAACAACATTCATCTCGTTTGTTTGATATATATAAAAAATTTCGGAATCTCGCTATCAGTTCAATTCGTAACGACAAAAAACATTTATTTAAAAGTATTATAAAAGACTTTTCAAATAGTAAAAGGTTTTGGTCAGTCTTAAAAAAGTATCGTGATCGTGTTTCAGACTTACCATCATCTATGCCATATAATTCTGCTACAGCTAGTGATGATTCTTTAAAGCCGAGTTATTATCTACTTTCTTTCAAACTAGTTTTTCACAAGTTTCTTCACTTACCACGAATAATTCTCAACCTCCTTTATCTTCTCAGTCTCTATCTGAAATTAAATTTGATGTTTCTGATGTGTTTAAAGCTTTAAATAGTTTAAAAAATAAAACTTCTTTAGGCACCGATCAAATTCCTATCAAACTTTTAAAGCTTAGTGCTGATGTAATTTCTCCTCAGTTATATCATATCTTCTCTCTTTCTCTTTCGACCGGTGTGTTT